TGCTCCAAAAAAGGTCTTAAACAGTGCCTAGGAGGTCTGAAATGCAGTCAGAATACAAAGAAAAACAAGAAGACGCTAAAGGTAAGCTTCAAAGCGATATTCAATGCACATTTTGCTAATTTAGTGAGCAAAGAATAATTCTCCATACAACGTCTTATAATTTTCTTGCTGTATGAATAATTAATTAGCTAAGTAGGATAATGTTGTTCACGGCTCTCATAGTGAGCTTGGGCTACCTGTGACCCGTTCAGCTGTTCTGAATGACGAATATTTGTTGCGTGACATCGCAATAGTGGAGTATTTGATCTTCATTTTTATTTAGTTTGATACAAGGTTTCCTACGGAATAACTTTTAATGCTGCATATTACCTGTCATTATTACAATTTTGTTATAATTTATACCGCATGTTTAGCTCATCTCAATGCCCATTACATCCATCTCAAAACGTTTAGTACGAGAAAAAGCGTCACAAACATGGAACATTTATAACACTTGTAGCTTGTACGAAAGTTTCGAGTTTTGAATAACTTTTCACATGCAATTTCAATTATCAGTTAAATAATTTCATTGTAAACCTTACCGTATATTGAGCCCATCTCCGTGTCTTTTACTCCCATCTCAACACGTTTACTGTGAGAAAGGGCAACACGAACAACGTACATTTACTAAGAATAGAAGCTTGTGTGAGCATTTTCGGCATGGAATAACTTGTCACGTGACATTTCAGTTATTGCAAAAACAGTTTTAATGTAAACCTCACTGTACAATTAACTCGTCTCAATCCTCTTTAGACCCATCTCAACACGTTTACTTTGTCAAACGGCAGCACGAACAACGTACATTTACTATGACTTGACGCTCGTACGAGCGTTTCCGGTATGGAATAACTTGTCACGTGACATTTCAGTTATTGCAAAAACAGTTTTAATGTAAACCTCACTGTACAATTAACTCATCTCAATGCCCTTTAGACCCATCTCAACACGTTTAGTGTTTGAAACGGAAACACGAACAGCGTATATTTACTAAGACTAGAAGCTGGTGTGAGCATTTCCGGTATGGAATAACTTGTCACGTGACATTTCAATTCTTACAAAAACAGTTTCAATGTAAACCTCACTGTACAGTTAACTCATCTCAATGCCCTTTAGACACATCTCAACACGTTTACTGTGTGAAATGGCAACGCCAACAACGTATATTAACCACATTAACCTAGACTAAAAGCTCGTGTGAACATTTCCGGCATGGAATAACTTGTCACGTGACATTTCAGTTCATGCAAAAAGAGTTTTAATGTAAACCCCACTGTAGGATTAACTCATCTCAATGCCTTTTAGACCCATATCAACACGTTTACTCTGTGAAAGGGCAACACGAAAACGTGTATTTACTTAGACTAGAAGTGGCATGTGAGCATTTCCGGCATTGCATAAATTGTCACGTGACAATTAAATTATTGCAAAAATAGTTTTAATGTAAACCTCACTGTACGACAACCTCATATTAGACCGCAAAACAGTCGGTTTTTTTCTCAAAATCAGTAAAGAAATCGGTAAAGAGTGGCGTTTCGCTCTCTGTTTTCAGCCTCATTCTAGACCTTTTGTTTGACTGCTCGCGCGTACTTGAATACGCAAAAATACGGACTGTTTTGCAGTCTAACCTCATATCAATGCCCTTTAGACCCATTTCTTTGAATAACAGAATAATTTGAAAGTGCGTTTTCTTTAGTGGTTTTAAAAGAAATGAAGAGTTAAATAAAGTCAACAGATGTACCTTTTCTATCATCGCAATAGTATTGTCAAGTGGTTAAAGACCCGCTTCTCATTATTTACATTGTCAGGCTTCGATGTTTTCTATTCCAAAGTTAGTATGATTTTCCCTCTTAGTAATTTCCAGGTCTGGACCGTTTTGTTGTTGTTGTTTTTGTCATAATTTCAAACGAACAATGACAACATTATGACAATCATAAATTAGTACAAATACCTCGTTAAAAGCGCACACGGACGGCATTTCATCAAACCTGGGACTTGTCGGGGGTTACGTAAGATAATGGTATAATGACAAGAAAGGTAAGTTGTTTACTTTTTTTCTTTTATTGTTTGCTTTGATCTTTTATCCTACGGTGGCCCGTAAGCCGACATTACAATATATTTTTTCCCTTAAGTTATCGCGCGATAATTAGTCAGTTTATCGCGCGATAAATGAGAACTGCTCATTTTATCGATAACTGCTCATCTTATCGCGCGATAAATTTGAATTATCGCGCGATAACTAGAAAAAAAATAAAAGATTGCAATGTCCCTTACGGGCCACCGTAATCCTGCTTGTAATTCAAATTATTTTATAACAACGACTTTTATTGCGTGTCATTTCCTCAATAGAAAGTCAGAGTTCGTCAAAATCTGGATTGTCAGCGACTAGCAGAACTATTAGTTGAGACCGGACTCCCTGGCACTTCTGATACCTTTAAGGGACTGAAAGAAGGGTCTTACTGGCAATCAATTGCCACCAAATATGAGAACGGTGTCCCGGGATCCCGTTTGGTGAAGGCCATATATAACGTTTGGCGGTCGAAATATTTTGTGGATCTTGTAACAAAAACACTTGAGGGCAAGGTTAGCATAAGCGCTTGTTGTTATGTTTTCATGGCTGCTTTTGTGATGGGCCTGATAGAATAGGTATCCAGCTGTGTGTCTCAATGCGCCCGCAATTCTTCCCGGGGTGGATCCGTGACAGAAGTCATGTGCGAGGGCCCACTGGCATCATTACACACTTTGGTATGGGCAACATTAGTTCTAATAAGACGTAATCCAATGGGACATTACAAACTGATGGTTAAATGGCTCAATGCATACCTACAAGTTTCTTTATCATTTTTCTGTTTTCATTTTAAACGCTAAATCATTCTCGATATAGCAAGGTAATCATTGTATGTTTCCTTCGTAAATCCTGGCACCGCCTTTGTACGGCTTCAAAGTGATGTGGAAAAATCAATACAGGTTCTATTACCTTTCTTCTTTTGAATAAGGAACTACGTGATTTAGCATTTGACGATATTCGCGCCCTTCTTCTCTTGCGGTATGCTATTTCACAATGCCTTAACCCGCTTCACTGTAAAGTTTTCTATCTTAATGATTACCTTGCTATATCGAGAATGATCTTGAAAGTTAGCTGCATTTCGGTCGCATATAACGCAGCCTTCATGAGCATGAACGGCCCGATAACGCTTTCCACGTCACGCTGGTGGATCCAGACCCAGAGATAATTGGGGGGGGGGAGGAGAACTTAAAACTTAAAATAAATTTCCTCCGGGCGTCTAGCATAGTCATAGTCCCCCTGTCCCCTTCCCTGGATCCACCACTGCACACTACTAACAAACAATGTGAGTCCATTGTCCCTCCTTGACCCACTAGGTCCCCCTATGCAATAGCCTAGGTCTCGCTCACTAAGAGTGACCAATGAGCTCTAATTCGGCTCTTTTCTCTGTACAAGGACGAAGTGGTGTTCTGCGTCTGCCGAAAACCCGAAGACAACAGGTACATGTACTTCACTATTCCTGATTGATCTATATATTTACATCAACTCGCTGTTCTTGAGTTAAACTGCCTTTTGATTGCGGTGTTGTCTTCCCTTTTTTTGGGTGAAACAGAACTTATGTATCGTGTGACCTCTGCCTTGACTGGTTCCACCCTGAATGCTTGAAGTTGAGCGAAAGAGAAATCGAAGCCTTAAGTAATTCAACTACATTCTTTTGCCCCGCATGCATGCAGGGATCTTGCGGATGCTGGGACCATGGTAAGAAGGAGCATTTCTTATTTACATGTATATATAGTCGAATTTTTTACATTTTAATGCAGTCAGGCAGCTTTGTCTTCTAGGTTTCCGGTTCAGTCATGCACTAACTGCGTATCGTTATCCTTTTTAATTTATTTAGTACGATAGTCCCAAGACAGCTATTCCAACAGACGCTCCAGAACGAAAAAAAGCAAAGGTATGCTTTCATAAAGTTTGATTCGGCTGTACACCTTGGGTTGGACGTCTTGTTCTTTGATTTTTCAACAAAGACCTTAGTTGTAAAGCCTCCTTCAGCAAGTACTTCACTGATTCAAGAGACCAAACCTTCCTAGCTAGAACAATTTTCACAGGTGCTCCAGTCTTCTAATTCAGTACGTCATTCAGCTTTGGCTAGAGTGCTCTATTCTTTTCTCACAGTGTAGGGCTCTCCGAATTGCGTTTACAGTTTCAGCTTATTTGATTCCGATAAAACAGTCAACCCTTATTTTGTCTTCAGCTGCGATCAGAACAGGGTCAAAAAAGTAAATTCACGGAAGAAAAAAGCACCGTTTTTTCGTGGCAGCATGAAATTCACCTTTCCGGGATGTTCTGTTTGTGCCATATTGACTATCCTCAATGAGAAGAGCGATCGCTTGGATATTTCCTTTTCCGGTAGTTTGAGGCACAAGGGTAACATTCATTATGGGAGATGGGTGAAGGGTATAGAACGAGAGAATTTTAAAAAGGAACTGTCTGGGGCACACCCGAGCAGACTACACCACCGGCTTTTGGCTAGCCTCCCTGAGAAGGTCTATGCCTCAGGAAACAGGGACGGGGTCGGAACGCAGCACACTCTGCAGAAGATCTCTTCGGAAAAGAATCTGCGTCGCCGCCCTTTCGTCGATTCTGTCCAAAGTTTAGCACACCTAAGAGCCCAAATTATTAAGGACGATCAGTTAAGGTTCCCACAATACCCGCAAAAGGAATCTGGGCCGCACCTTTTTGGATATATACAGTCAATTTCCCTATATCCAACGGTTGTCATTATGTGGACGGAGGCTGACCTACGCCTATATTGCGAACTGTGCCGCTCGGGTACAAATTCTTTGACGCTACGAGCAAATTGGCGAGAAACGTTTTTAAGGATACGGGACCAATTTTGTACTACTCTTTGGTCATTTCCCATCCAACAACCAAAAAACCACCTATCGCGGTTGCTGAGATGTTTCCTAGCAGCCACTCCGTTCCCACACTCACCTCCTTCCTAATGAATTTTCGTCGGAACGTGCTCGGGCTTTGCCAGGGAAGACCTACCACCCCATCTCATCTAGAGATAGATCTGAGCTGGGCAAGTCTCCATAGCTGTCTGCGTGGTCTATACGACGAGAGTCTAGAATCGTACTTCGACCGATCTTGGAGGATTGCTAATTACGAGGCCAAAGGAAACGATCTCTACAAAGGCATAGTGCATTTCTGTACCAGCCACTTGATGAACACAGTTGGCAGAAAACTATCTCGTATGTAAGTATGCGAAGCATTGCGAATTTTTACCCTAAAAAAAGAAATAAGTTTCTAAATAATAATAAGGACGAATTTAACAACAATACTAGGAAACATGTACTTGCCATCCAACCCCAGTTCGCTCGCGAATGCAACAATTATAACCTCGTTGGCTCTGATTATCATTATTACTACCAATTGATTTTTAATGTTGTTGTTGTTTTTCTTTCCTGTCACGTACCAGAAGGGGTTAAACGGAATTTGAGGAAATACCTCAATCCTTCAGAACAAAAATTATGATTACTCGACTTCACTGAGAACTATCAAATCATAAATATTAGCCTGGTTGAAATATCGACCTGTTTAACCTATGACATATCTCGTTGTCTTTGTCTTTCTCTATGAAGGAATATCGGCAAACACATTAAGGAGTTTGTTCTTCGTGGAATGGGAGTGCTTGTCAACTGTACAAAATTGTCCAGGCTGCTTGAGTTGTCGAGCGCTTTGGTAGTCTGTCTCACTGCGAAGAAGGAGGGTCGCAGTTTGAATGAAGACAAGACACTGTTATTGGCTGCCATTGATCGGATTTCACCCGCGGAGTTGGACGCCTTATGCGCGCAGAACGAGAAACAGTCCCAGTTCGATGATGCCAGTCTTGAGATGGAAGAAACTCTTAGTGTGAAGATCAGAGACATTCCTCCCTTCTCTCGAGCTCTAAAACGAAAGAGCGCTGCTAAGTTGGCAAAACTGGATGAAAAACCAGAACAGCCGGTCAATCTTCTGAATTGTACCAAAGTCGTGGAGTACCTCCAAACTTAGATCTTTCCTTTGGCTCTGATTTGGTCCGGTATTTTGTTAGGTAACTGATATAATTGTTTGAAAACGCATAGAACACGTTTTAAACAACTCCCTTTCTTTGTATTACAAGGTCGAATTTAGTACTATCGATTCATAACATCTCACACCATATGACATTAGTTAGAGGTAAGTCTATAAAATTCTAACGTCGGAAGGTGACTATCCGAAAAAAAACCCTTCTCGATAAACCGTCCGCGTAAATCGCGATAGGAATTTTAAAATTCTTCCCTTTCGGTTACAGGTGATCATGGACGGTTCTCGCACGATCGAAAGATGGAGACGGTAAGTACTTCCACGGCGTAAATAGTTCACGCTGCTTCACTTTTTGATTCTGAATTTTCCTCCGGCACGAAATTTGGTCAAAAGACGCCTTTATTCCATTTATCTCACCGTAGTCATGTGAAAGAACGCGATCAACTGCTGGTCTGATGGAATTGTGCCAAAAAATTGTCAAGATTCACGATATAGTCGGCACTAAACCTATAGATATAGCTTGCTGTATCAGCCAAATGAGGGACAACAAACTTGGTCGACTAAGGAAATTCCACGATGACACTCTTATTAGCAGCAGGAAGTTCAAGCAGTTAAAGGTGAGATATTACATCCAACAAAGGGTACAGCATCACAAAGGTCACTTTCGGGGGGGGGGTGTCAAGAGTATCCTATATTTCTGTATACTCTACTTTTTCCCGCCGTTTTAGGTTACCCACGAATTGTAACTGCATCCTTAATAAACGTCATGATTTTTTAAAGTAAAAGCATGTCACTAATGTGTCTGCTTCTTTTACTCAGGCAAATAAGAGTAGGGAAGACGAGGAAAGCAAAATAGAGGTGTCCACAGAGAAATGGTCAAAGAGAAGTCTTGATTCCCAGAATGGTGGTACTACGGGTATTGGGAAGTACCAACAGGCTCCTAAAAAGCAACTCAAGATCACTACCATGTGGGTACCTTCTTATCTACCACTGGATAACCGTTGCCATAGAAAATGCTCCCTTATCGAGTTCTAGAAGAACTTGAAGATATTGACGTGCAATCCGATATTCAAATTTGCATTCTTCAGGATTTCACCTCGGCAAACGGAGAAGAAAAATGCAAAGTTGCTCTCCACATCCAAAAAGAAAAACGCGAGCAATCCAAAAAAGGCATTGGTGAAAAAAAAAAGAAGAAAAACACGGCCTCCTTAAACGAGGTAAATATATTTCCAATATGCTATAAACGACCAGATTCCATATTACACTCTAGCAACTATCTGATAACCCAACCATCCATGTCTTTGTAGAGAAAAACTCATGTAAAGGCGAAGACAACCGTGACATCGACAGTGTGTTTTCCAGGACTAAGGAACGCTGGAAATAGCTGCTGGTTCAACGCCACCCTGCAATCCTTGGCACATAGTGCAATTAGCGATGACATTCAACTGAAAGGTAATAGGGCTAGATCATTCCCGGTTATCCGATTCCTTTTCTAATTCCATTGCGGATGGAACAGATGCATGTGGATGTGATATTCCCGTGGACTGACCACTCCCATTGGCTTATAAATAATTTAAAAGTAAATGAAGAAGGAGAAATTGACAGTGAACACGTCTTTAGAGTTTACCCTTTAAGCAACGATTTTTGTCGGTTTCGTTGCACGTTTACTGGTATTGAGTAGTAGTCTGTGTGTATTGAGGATTTAAATGTTGTACAGTCCCATAATGTTTTCATGCTTTGTAACAATTGCATGTGTCTATTATGTTTAACAGGTGGTTCCACGGCAACTCCATCTCAAGATGCAAACATCACCGATTTATGTCGTGTACTTAACAAATCTCAATCTGCTAAGACCCTGGATCCGACTATATATCTGGTAAAATATATATTTTTTTTCTTTTATTTATGTCAAACATTGTTTGCTGGGCTCATACCATATCAGCCTAAGAGGTAAGTCCACTCTGTGGGCTGGAATACGACAATTAATTACAAGTGAACATTGCTATCATAATACTATTGTCTTTCTATGCAAACTTTGCTTCCGTAGGACCAGTTCCATAGAAGACATCCGCTGATGGGAGCTGGCCAACAACACGACGCCCACGAATTTCTTGTAGAGCTTCTTAACGACATCACTTTCATGGTACGTCACCCCCCTTTAACCCCACCCCTCACCGGAAAAAAAAAAAGGAAAAAGAAGGAAAGAAAGTGTAACTTATGGAGCTTCACTTTTCATTTTTAGGATGGAAACAACCAGGCCAGCCCTCTCACAGCCTTGATTGAAAATACAAGGGCATGTTCTCAATGCGACAAGGTTTGATACACACGTTCAGGAGGAGGATTTGAAATTCATGGATCGGATTGAAGATCATTTATTTCTGCAATCCTTTTCAGGTGACCGGGAAGTTCGAGAAATGGGACAGTTATGTGTGCAGTGTTCCAGTCGATGCATTGCAAAAGTTAATGGACTGTATTCTTCATATAGGAGTTAAAGGAAAGGAGGAGTCTTACGCGTAAGTATCTTTATTTTCGTGAAATTTCTTCTGTTTTTTTAATGTTGGCTTTCCCTTAAAAACAAAATTTTCATAGACCATGTCAGTACTTGTACTCTTCTGCCTAACCTGTGGGGCGCCCACTCAAAAGGGAATGGCCCAATGTTGCATCCCCTTCCAAATTCACCCCACCTTATTGAGTGTGTTTCAAAGGACAGTAATGACAGTACGGTTTTTTCTTAAAGCTTCATATACTCCTGTTTCGAGCATCTCTTTATTTCCATTTTCTCTCTCTCTCGCCAGCTATATCTACTGCGACTACTGTCGCGAGAACTCACTTCATCAAATATGGTCAACGTTCGTGGATCAGCCCAGAGTTCTCATCATTCACATGAGGAGGTTCGACAACGAGGGAAACAAAAATTCAAAAATTCGACATAGAATTGTGAGTTATCGACAACTCCGAAATTTGTGTGGAAAAGTTTCCAACCTAGTAGAGAACATTAAGAAATGAAGCATTTTTAATACCTTCAATTTCAATTTTAACAGAGAGATGGACATATCAGCTATTTGTTCTGACAGCTCTGGTCCTGTTCAATATTCCTTGACAAGTGCAATTGTATGTATATGTACCTCTTCTCACTTTGTCATTAGGAGTCTGTTATTAAGGAGGAATATGTCATATTTTTACTGGGCGAGGGCTACTTGTAAAATTATTCAGTGGTTTGTTTCTATTTCGTTGCAGTTACACAAGGGATCGTCTACCCGTGCCGGACATTGTAAGTAGCTTCAATAACCGCCCGTATAACCGTTCATGTCCGCAACCTCCTTTTGGCTATTTAAATACTAATTTCATTGACACTATTTTTTTAGATACGTCTATAGTGAAAATAAATGATCGCTGGTATGTGTTTGATGATGAAAAGGTCTCCACAGCTAGCACGTGGCATGTTAAATCTGAATTGAAGGTACTTAGAAAACTTGACCTTTAATAGTCTAACAGCGTTTTAGAATGATACAAAATTGTGGCCTTCTATACCCTGTTGTTGTTTGTTCTTTTCAATTTCTCTCAGAGGTATGGTTACGTGTTATTCTTTAAATGTCGCAACGTCTCAGATCAGAAGGAAAGCAAAGGTATAGTTTCCATTTTACGGAAAACGATCGGAATTGCAATAATAATTATTATGAGAAACACAATAAAACACAACAATAATAATGGTAATATACAATATAATAAGAGTGTTCTTATGATTATCATTATTATTTATCTTTCAAAGGACAGACAAATGCAAGACGGTGAAAGTGCAGTGCCCAACAAAAGCACACCTCCCGGCCGTGACAACCTGGTGAGGGATAAATTCTAGATGGTTACTTCTCTGCATGAATAGGGCGCGAGATCGACAAAAAGCAAACAGCTGAAACAGAGACATGCTCTCCTTGACACAAAATGGTCCCTTGCCGGTTTCCCTAGTGAACAGTAGCCTGCAGTGCAGGCGTATTTTGGGTGGACGGAAGCCGCCTGTTTATGTTAATACTGTTGTAACGGCCATCTTATAGAGTACAAAAATGGTAACCCTAAGGGTAGGTGCTTGGGCGAAAGAGGAAAACAGGGAAGGGGCAGGGGAGGAAAAAATACGGCGTATTCTATCCTCTGATCTCTCTGCGCCCCCTACCCCGCTCCCTTTGACTGTCATTCGCCCTATTTTCTCCCCTCTTTTCGAGTTCAACCTCCTCTTTGCGCAAACAAAACATTCACGCGCCCGAAGAAAACTCCTACATTGCAGACTAGGTGAACAGCTGATTCTCTAATTCATGCCATCAACTACACATTACCAGATTCTGCCACTTAAAGTGCCACCGTATCATCTCAAGCAGCTGACATTTTCTTGCCGTCCCATGAAAATTACAAGACAATTTGAGACATTTAATATGTCATTTTATGCATTAAAGGAACATAAGGAGAACGGGATAAATTACCTCGATGAATTTATGAAACAGGAGGTGAGTTTATCTCAGATAGTAGACTATGTCTTTTCTTCCTAATAGTAAGTTAGTACACGTTCATTATATACCTAAGAGTCATGGTGTATAGTTTTTGCCGACGAATTGAATGAAGATAGTTCCTATAAATTAACTAACCACAAATTGAGATTTGTCGGAAATTGTACTTTACATAAATTTTGAAAATTGTCTAGAATTAAAACTGCAATTTCCTTTTCCCCCTTCCAAACGCTAGTTAATCCTACAGTGGGGTTTACATTAAAACTGTTTTAGCAATACCTGAAATGTCACGTGACAAGTTATTCCATACCGGAAATGCTCACACAAGCTTCTAGTCTTGGTAAATATACGCTGTTCGTGTTGCCGTTTCACACAGTAAACGTGTTGAGATGGGTCTAAAGAGCATTGAGACGAGTTAATTGTACAGTGAGCTTTATTTTAAAATTATTTGTGTAAGAATTGAAATGTCACGTGATAAGTTATTCCATACCGGAAATGCTTACACGATCTTCTAGTTTTAGTAAATGTACGCTGTTCGTGTTGCCGTTTCACACGGTAAACGTGTTGAGATGGGTCTAAAGAGTATTGAGACGAGTTAATTGCACAGTGAGGTTTACATTGAAACTGTTTTTTCCAATAACTGAAATGTCACGTGACAAGTTATTCCATACCGGAAACGCTCGTACGAGCTTCAAGTCACAGTAAAGGTACGTTGTTCGTGCTGCCGTTTCGCTCAGTAAACGTGTTGAGATGGGTGTAAAGAGCATTGAGACGAGTTAATTGTACAGTGAGGTTTACATTAAAACTGGTTTTGTAAGAATTGAAATGTCAGGTGACAAGTTATTCCATGTCGGAAATGCTTACACCAGCTTCTAGTTTTAGTAAATGTACACTGTTCGTGTTGCCGTTTCACAGAGAAAACGTGTTGAGATGGGACAAAAGAGCATTGAGATGAGTTAATCCTACAATGGGGTTTATATTAAAACTGTTTTAGCGATAACTGAAAAGTCACGTGACAAGTTATTCCATACCGGAAATGCTTACACCAACTTCTAGTCTTGGTAAATATACGCTGTTCGTGTTGCCGTTTCACAGAGTAAAGGTGTTGAGATGGGTCTAAAGGGCATTGAGATGAGGTAATCCTACAGTGGGGTTTACATTAAAACTGTTTTTGCAATAATTGAAATGTCACGTGACAAGTTATTCCCTGACGTAAATGCTCACACAAGCTTCTAGTCTTAGTAAATATACGCTGTTCGAGTTGCCGTTTCACAGCGTAAACGTGTTGAGATGGGAGTAAAAGACATTGAGATGGGCTCAATATACGGTAAGGTTTATAATCAAATTATTTAACTGATAATGGAAATTGCACGTGAAAAGTTATTCAACACCCGAACCTCAAGCTTCAAGTGTTAGAAATGTTCCATGTTTGTCGCGCTTTTAACATGTTGAGATGGATGTAATATGCATTGAGATGAGCTAAACATGCAGTATAAATTATAATAAAATTATGGTAATGAGAGGTAATATGCAGCATTAAAGGTTATTCCGTAGCAAACCTTGTATGAAACTAAGATCAAATATTCCACTATTGCGATGTCACGCAACAAATATTCGTCATTCAGAACAGCTGAACGGGTTTGAAAAACCTTGTTTAAGGCGAATGTAACAGTTCTCTTACTGGTTCTTATAAATAATGTGAATATTTCTCGCTTAAATCGAATTGGCAGACAACTTCAGCTCAGTCCGTGTGTGCAAAAATAAACAAAGGCTTAAACTGAAGGACTCAGGCAACTTCTGGTTAGAGTAGCCCCGCTGCTGAAGAAAATAGAAAGAAGAAATTAGTGCTGAAAGTCAATTCTCATTGTTACTAAAACTCTTCATGATTTTTTGGTTATCATTTGTTAGGTTTTGTTATCATGTTTCAAGGAACGTTCTCTGTTATGATTGTCTGAACGCGTCCAGTGATTGTTTAACTTTATTGTATGCACCAATAGTTTGTCTCAGGTCAGTCAGTTCATGATAATTTGCGACAATAGGGCAAAATACCGTAAAATTCCGAAAATAAGCCCCGGGGCTTATATTTTTCAAAGGCCCTTTTTGAGGGGCTTATTTTTGGAGGGGCTTACGGAGGGGCTTATCTACGGAGGGAAATTTGCGTTTCAAAATCGATTGGGCTAGCCTTATAGTTGAAAGTGAATTTACCGTTTTTGCATTGTTTGACTTTGAGGGCAATTTTCCAAGTACAAGCCCCCAGGGGGCTTATATTTGGAAGGGCTATTTAACGGAAGCTTTTTTGCGTTACCCGTTTGGGGGGCTTTTATTTGGAGGGGCTTGTACATGGAGGGGCTTATTTTCGGAATTTTACGGTATACCGAAGGATCAAATTTCCGAAACCACCTATAAGAAATTTTGAATAACTTCAGTACTTGTTATCAGTAAAAAGAAACTTTCCAATTACAGAAATAATAACTATTATTATTCATTCAAAACTGATATTTCCCCGATTCTGATTGGCTAAAACTGACACGCATAATTCACAATAACCAGTTACTGATGACAGAATTTGGAAGAATTTTGTGTTTAACGAGGAAATGACGTCAAAAATGCGGCGTTCTTGCAGGTTAATGCACCGTTAACCGAGAAGACCTAGGGACGAGGTTGAGTTGTTTTAGTTGTGATAACAAAAAATGGCGGACATTTCACTCGTTTCAAGAGTGAGAACTAGGCGAAATTATAGCTAAAAACATGGCAAGAACAGCAAGAACACTACTCGAAGGGCGACATCTGCGCTTTGGAGAATAATTGCGGAGCTGAACAACCCTAATTACGATCTCCATAATTCTTCATAATTCTTCCTCATTCATTAATCATTGGGTAAGCATTAAGCAATCATTGGTGAGCGCGTTTTTGCAGTCTTTCTTGGTCTTCGCATAGTAGATAACTTGGCTCGAGCGCGACGAAAAACTGGACTGCCGTTCTCCAAAATAGAGCGAATACATGTGATGTATGATAAAAGCAACATGCGATTTTTTAAGTTGCCTTAGAAAATATTGAAACCTTTCTAACTAATTCCGACACATAGACGTTCCACATTAAATCACTCCTGGAAACAATAAAGTGTCTCACGTGAGAGTACATAGACTTTCTCAAAGTCCTTCGCTTCTCATTTCCGGTTCCGGTATCTCCCTCTCTCCCGCTGGCTTTTGCCGCAGAAAAAAATGTTAAAATACTGAATGGAATGTTACAATAGAATGCAAATAGCTTTGCCGTATTCTGCATGACTCTTACATTAATCGCTTAATTGTTAATTACAATTTAGCTATGTGAGCGTATTTTTTTTGTTGTTGTTGTAAATAACTTAAATATATATACTTTTACTCAAATATTGTAACATAAGATATGTATTTTTTATCTTGTGTGGAAATAAAGACTGTTATTATTATTATTATTATTATTATTATTATTATATTATTATATGACTGATCACTTTGTCGCCACAAAGCTAGTGTTTTCAGGAAAAAAATATATTAATGATGAAATAACAAACGATAATAGTTCTCAGCAGCACCTTAAAATTCATCTTGTTCTTGCGGAAACTTTCTCATTTTCATTGTAAGGGGCGGTACAACTCTTTCCAATTCTCTTTCGCCGTCACCAATCTCTTGTACAGGAATGAGTATTCGCCTTTCACCCTGTTCTTCGTTGTTCTGATATCTTTGCCTCTCCAACATTTTTATCAATATGACTGTGAGTATTCCTCCGATGACAAACACGCCATTACTTGATATAGAGAAGATGCGATCGACAGGAGTGTGAAAGAGCTATCTAAGCCTGACGATGGGATTTCGTTCAGCGGAAAGCGAATAAGCCAAAGAGCCCTAGCTGCAAACAACGGTCCTCGAAATGTAAAGCCGCGTTGACGTTCACACGGCATGAGAAAGCAAATTATTTTACAACTAAAAAGCGTTAATAAGCTTTGCGTTAAGTAGAAATGCTGCGCTGATAACAAGTTCCCCAGAATATTCAGGTGCACATGCAATCGGATACTTTGACTGTATCGGGTTTGAATTCTTCAGGTCAGAACACGTACAGCTTCTCGCAAGGATCTAGCTCCCTTAAAAGCGTTAGTACTATAGAGATGCCAAAATGTTACCGAAGAAATGCTGACGAAATGCTTTTTAAAACCGACACTGTATGCCAAAGGAACACATGCCAAAAATCAAATACTAGAGAAATGTAAAGATGGCAAGTAACCAACACACAGAGAAACTCATGAAATATAAAAAAAAAACCTAAGGAGAAAAGTTAATATGTTGCAGTGTTTAGGCAGTTTAAAACGAATGAATTTCAAAATGGAATCTTTCTCAAGCCTTCTAGTTACTATAAATACAGAGGTGATAATCTTCAACATTCGGTTGTCAATAATAACGAAACTCAATAACGAAATTCAAGAGCAGTGGCACTTACCACCCAAGCTCTCTCTCCTCCGAGGGAGAGAGAGAGCCATGGTCGTTTATTATTCAATTCATCCATGAGCTCGCCCCTAGGAGCCTTTGATTTATCTCTCACTCTAGATCTCTGTCGCCCTTTTTCTCGTTGAGCTTCGCTGGCCTGCCGCCTACTTTCTCTTTTTCTCTGTCTTTCTCTTGTCTATATTCCAAATTTGTGGACATCACAATTAATCTAAACTTAATACTTTAGACAACACGGATACAGAAACATTTTCCGCTTTCCGTTTTCGTCTTTATTGACTCTTTAGCTGTCTCTGCTTTACAAGACGCCGGTGGCTATGCGACTTCCCGCCAAGATAGCCTCGAGTTGCATTTGGATTGCCATATCTGTTCATTGAGTTATTTTACATTGATTTGCCTGTGGTGCGGACGGTCGGGCGGGCGGGAGGGCGGGTGTACGGTCACGTGATTACCAAATTCTCTCGGATGGGAACCGGATGGGTAGATTACTTCATTTTCATATCCATAACACTTCGCGCGTGAGAGCTCCCCTAG